CGGTCTTGCGGTTGAGCGGATGCACCGCCGTCATCACCGCCTCCCCCGAGAATTTGGCCGGCATGGACCTCTGCTTCAGGAGCGCGCGTGCGGTCGCCACGACCGTCTGATTGCGCCGCTCCACCACACCGTTCTACTGCGGTGAGTGTGGTGCGAGTAGTGCCGCTTGACTCTTCGCCGGCGGCAATCTGCGCCCGGCTTCGCCGACGAACTCTCCTCCATTGTCGGTCCGCGACACCTTGAGCTCACGGCCGGTCTCCTTCTCTGCCGGCCTTCACCCGCTTCCACGGCATCCGCGGACATCCTTGGTCGGCGAAGCACCGCCCACATGAAGCGGGTGGCGTCGTCCACCATCGGCAAAAGTGGCGCCCTCCTGGCGTCACCGGCCCGCTGAAGTCGCCGTGGGCGAGGGTCCAGGCGCTGCTGCTGCATGCATGATCTTCTGCGCCATTCTGCGAAACGGCTTGCGGCGGAGCTTGGTGGTTGACGCAGTGTCGTGAACTTGCTCGCATGCTTGATCACCGGCATCCCCTCACCATCTCCCTTTGCGTGGTGCGCCGCCTAGTTTGAGATGCCCGTGGCGCCATGCCACCACCTCCATGGCTCATCCTCCTTCCCGGGCGAAGAAGACACCGGCGCGTGGCCTCAAGTGCGGATGTCTGACCGATCGGGCCCGCTGATGTACCTTGGCGAAGAGGCGACCACGCCGGTCCCGGATCACGGAGCACTCCATGGTCAATCTCCACCACGAGCCTCCTTCGTCGAGCTGCCCCAAACTCATAATCGAGTTCCGAGAGCGGGATGTAGAAGACGCCCACGGAGGACGCTGCTGCCCCCGTTCTTGGCCTGGAAGACGATGGAGCCGGTCCCCTTGATCTCCACTCGAGACGAGTCGCCGAAACGCACCGTGCCGCGCGCCGTGGTGTCGAGCTCGGCGAAGAGCTCCCGGCGACCGGTCATGTGATGCGTGGCCCCGCTGTCGAGGTACCAGCCGTCGAGCGCCTCCTCGTTGGCGCTGGTGTTGAGGAAGACGCGCGCGCGGCTCATTGATGTCGAGGGAAGCCGTGGCCTTGGAGCAGACGGCTTCGGCCTTCTCGTCGAGCTCAAGGAAGCCGTGGGCGAGGAACAGAGCACCATCATCGTCCTCCGCCTCTGCGACATGCGCAGCACCGCCACGCCCACCACCGCGCCGTCCACCTCGATCACCTCCAACGCGGTTGCCTCCTCCGCGGTCACCACCACCGCGATCACCTCCAACGTGGTTGCCTCCTCCGCCTTGGTTGCCACCGCCGCCGCCATGCCATCCACCACCACCACCTGCCTGCGGTGGCGGCGATCAGCGCGCCCAGATGGCCGCGATCACCACGATTGAGGCAGTGTGTCGTCGTCCGCCCCGCGATCGTCGCCACCGCCTCTGTCTCCTCCGCCGCGATTGCCCTTCCCGCGCTGCTTCTTGCCGCCGCGTGGACGACGTCGCGGTTCCTTGCCTGACGCGGAAGCGGCAACCTCCTCCTTCTCCTTGGCACGCCACTGCTCCCTTGTCAGCAGCAGACCGCCGATGGCGACCGGTTCCGCGGTCAACGCCTCCATGTCGTCCACCGTCTTCAAACGCCCAGACACCTCGATGGTGAGGTCCTAGAAGTCGAGAAGCGTCTCGATGGTGATCCGGAGCTGGGCGTACTTCGGCGGCACGACGCGCAGGAGCCTCTCCACCGCGCGCTCTTCATCGATGTCGTTGTCGCCGTGGAGGAGCTGCTGCTTCAGGGCCATCAAGCGAAGAGTGAAGTCCTCGATCTGCTCACCCGGACGGAAGGCGAGCTTCTCCCAATCGCTGCGGAGTCGCTGGAGCGGCGCACCCAATCGACGCCGATCCACGCGGCGGCGATGGAGTCCCAGGCCTCCTTGGCCGATCCCTTCTCGGACAGCGGCATCTGCATCTCCTGCGGCACGGCGGCGATGATCGCCTCCACCGTGCGCCTGTCCTCATGGTACGGTAGGTCCTGGTACTCGATCGCGTCCAAGAGTTGCCGCGCCTGGAGCTTCAGCTTCATGATCGAGGCCCACTCATGGTAATTTGACTTGGTGAGCATCGGCCAGGTGGAGCTTGAGCGAGAATCCTTGTATACGGTCTGGATCACCGGCGAGCGGCCCCTGGCCCGTCCGCGGCGGCGATCCTGATCCCGATTGGGCCACCGCGTCTGCCTGCGCTCGCGCTCCGGGCTCCTCCGCGGAAGCGGGCGACGATCGCGCGGCGGATCCTCCTCCACCAACTCTCGACGCAGAGCCGCGGCCGTGGCGGCCGCGTTCGTTAGCTTCTTCTTCTGCGGCCTCCATGACTTCTTCTTTGCTGCATATGGTCATGGCCTCTCCCATGCGGTGAGGCAGCTGTTGCTTTTGGCTGGCGGCGGCGGCAAGGCCTTCTTTCGCTCTCTCTGCGGAGGTGGCCATGCCTCTCCCTTTCTCTCAACCCCGGGCTCCGATGCCAATTGTTGGCAAAGATCACAAGATCACAGGTAATTGGGAGGATAACTTGGCCTGTGGCCTTCTATTGAATTGCAAAAACAAGACAGTTGAATTGTACAAGTGGTCCCCCCCCCCATGTGCTCTTATAGGCCAGGGGTTTATCCCAGGGAATATTCTAACTACCTAATGGTAGATGCTTTAGGAAACTTGGCTGCCAAGGTGTTTATCAACTTCACCTCCAAGGCAAGCCCTACCAACCACATTAGGACTGAAATGTAAATGCTGGAAAAACATGAACACTAGGCTAACTACTGACAGAAAAGACGAAGCTTCTTGTGGAAGGGCAGCTAATGGGGGTAACTGTCTAGTCTCATGGGAAAAGGATCAACGCCCAGTTCAGTTTAGGGGGCTAGGCATTCATAACCTTGAACCTTTGGGCTGGTCACTCCGTATCAGATGGCTGTGGGCACAAAAGACTGATGAGGAACATCTTTGGGCAGGTTTACCAGTGCAAGTCCCACGTATTGCAGAGCATTGCTCCCAACCTGATCAAGATCATTCCCAAGAGAGCCTTGAAACAACGTACAGTGGCACAAGCTTTACAGAACAGAAGTTGGGTGGCTGACACCAAGGGGGCCTTGACAATTGAAGTTTGTTGGAATACTTGCAACTCTGGGACATGATTGACAATTTTGCTCTTCAACAGGACACTTCCGATCAGCACCAATGGAGACTTACACGATCAGGCTCTTTAGCAAATCAGGCTATGTGGCATTTTTCACAGGGACCATCAAATTTGCACCTTGGAAGCGAATCTGGAAATCTCGGGCCCCTCTTCATTGCAAATTCTTCGTCAGGCTCGCGATCAAGAATCGCTGCTGGACGGCTGCAAAGCAAGGGCTTCCATCCCTTGTGTGATCAGGCTGATGAAACAATCCAGCATATCCTGATTGGTTGTGTTTGCAAGGCAGGTTTGGACAGCTATCTTTTCTGTGTTGGGATTGCTTCCTTTTGCACCACAACCAGAAGACTCCCATTTTAGTAGCTGGTGGAGCAAGACAATCAAGGCGGTTCCAAAGGAGATAAAGAAAGGGCTTAACTAACTCATTATCTTAGTTGCTTGGGAGATCTGGAAACATAGGAATGACTCTGTTTTTGAGAGAGGTAGTCCCTGCATTCAAAAGGTTGTACTTGTAGTCTATGAATGTAATCTGTGGTATTGGGCTGGTGCTAAGGCATTACAACAGCTCCTTTGTAGGTCATTGCCACCGCCTGCTTAGGCTCCAGATGGCATTTTTTGTCGTGTTTTTTCTTTGCAGCGAGTGCTGCTGTTAGCCATGTATTAGGTGTGGCCTAAGGAATTGGCTTTGCCTCTCCTTTGGTTTTTTTCTTTTTTTGTCTCTACTTAATGAAATGGCACGCAGTTCTCCTGTAGTTTGAGGGAAAAAAATAAACCAACCCTAGAGCCTGGCCTGAACAGAAACCAGACAGACTCTGTTCACATCAAAACTAATCAGATATGTATAGCACAGCTGACCATAGGAAGATGTGCCTCCATGGACCTAGCAGGCCACACATAATAACATGCATAATTTTATGCTAACTGGGTCATCTCCTAGTTCGTGTGGCAGACTAGCAGCTACAAGCAAACAAGTCATAACAGTCATATTTAGTGTTGGAATATAAGTGAATTGCCCACCTCTCCCATCAGCTTAAGCTTTTGGGTTGAACTGGTCGGTGCATGCAACTTAATATGGTATCAAAGCCAGAGGTCTCGAGTTCGAATCCTGGTTAGCGCAATTAAATAAAATAATTACTGCTCGCTCCTATTCCACGTCTGAGGCCTGAGGGAGCCTCCACGTGAGGGGGAGTGTTGGAATATAAGTGAATTGTCCACCTCTCCCATCAGCTTAAGCTTTTGGATTGAACTGGTCAGTGCATGCAACTTAATATTTAGTTACTAGTTTGATAATTGATTTGGTCTATTTTGATGTGAAGCTACACTATCTATAGATGGTAGTTTCAAGTCAATTCAGCATATTATCTTACCATTGCTATTTCAATAGTAATGTGTTGTTAGAAAATTGTTGGCCCAGCTTCCCAATGGATTTGAAACCTTGCAATAATGAAAGCGTAAGTTGACCAATTACTAATATCTTGCATGTATCTAGCACAAAAACTATCCTCTTCTTTTTGGTCCAGGATTTTATAAACAACCAACAGGCGGAGAAAGTCTTCAGAAAACTGAATACCACTAAGAACCATGTGGTAAACTCAGGGTTCCTATACCAGCTCTTTAAATAAAGCAACAAAAAATCCTGAGTAGTTTTTCAATTGCATTGAAGGAAACAATATCAATTTGGACCAGTTAGATTTGTAATACTGAAAATAGAAGCTTGAAGTGTTGTGAAATAAGACATACAGAGTGCGTATGATTAATATAAGATGTCGCAAAGAAATAATCACTTCCATACCTGTACATGTCAAGCAGAAAACCAAGGACCCAGTGCACTCTTAACAACCTCCTTAGGAACCAATCAACCAAAGCCGAAACCTTCACTAGCTTCATGAATGGCAAGAAGCAGTCGCTCTTCTAATTGCTCCTTTGAGGTATATTCCAGTAAATCCAACTGGTTAAAACTGTGTATTCAATGTGCACTTATCATAATTACTAAACGAGCAGACAGTAGCATAATAAAGAGGTACAAAAGTGGAAGGCAGTAAATGAACGTATTGATAAGTTACCAGGTATGAGCAGATGGAAGTCGGTCTGGAGCTCCATACGCCTTGTGAATCTGAAATCTCTGGGGGCCAGAAATACCTTGTAGCGCTTTGAAACCCTCCAATGGTACCTATACAAATAAATTCCATGTGTGTTATTGATTGAAGTTTTAGAGCAATATATACTGTTCAAGATTTATGAGACTTTTTAGATGAAACTACAGTTTCACTGTAGTCTAATTGAAGCAGCTTTTGACCTTAGATGTTCCGGTAACAAACTGCAGTAGTCTCGCCATGTCTTCCTTGCTGAATGCTTTAACAACTTCCCAGAACCACTGGATGACAGGAGATGCAGCTGAATATCCTATATATTCCGTGTTAACCTTCAGATCATCCACTGCAAGGAAAAATAAAACACAATAGGATGAAAGGAAATAAATAACTTATGCAATAAGATGATGAATTACTCCAGACAGATGAAATCCACTCACGGTCAATTTCAGGAAGACCACTAATCAGCAGCTCAAGTTCTTTATCATTGAATAGCGATATTAGATCCCTTGGAACTAACTCTGTGAAGCCTTCAAGGAAACCATTAATTTGAGGACGAATTGCAGTGGTCAGTATATGTTCCGCTACAAGGTCAACATATTCTTGCTTTGTTTCCTCAGTAACCCTGATGTTTCTTCCACCCGGTTTTAGCTCATAATCGGTAACCTGAATTGCAAAGTTATTAAACTGCACAACTAAGATAAAAGCTGATGCAAGCAGAAAAGGTTTCGGCTAAAAACCATGATGGCTTTTCAATACCTCAGTCTTCTCGTAGAGAATATGCTTTTCCTCATCAGGATCCATGCTGAATGTTAAATCGGGAAGGTCACTTACATCATTCTGTTCAAAAAAGGCATGATTAAGGAACTGCATAGATCCACATATAAATTAATTAATAAATTAATAAATAAGAAACTGCTGAAGATGAACCCAAACCTCCAGCATCCACTTCAAATTTTTGTAGTAATCAGGATCAATAGCCTCTATATCATGATATGTTACTTTAGCACCTAAGATATGTTTGTAAAATGAACGGGTAAAGTGGACATCCAACAATTGGCCATCAAATAATGCTTTAGCAACCTGTGCAAACAACTAGGTCTCAGAAAAAGGGAAAACAAATGAAGTGGTATTGAACTATTGTGGAGTGTCAAGAAATTACCACTCGACCAACAAACTTGAAGTAAGAAAGGTGCTCCGTTTGAAAAACAGAGTTAGGATTAGGCTGGAAAGTCGCGTTGTTTCCAACTGTAGTGAAGAGAAGAGCTCCTTTGTCAAAAATAACTCTAGAGAGCAGTTGGTACCATTCCCTAGTTAGTCCTCCAGCATCTATGCCCTCTTCCCCTTGAAATTGCACAGTCAAGCGACCCTTGAGATCCTGGGTACGACGTAATCTCAACTGATTATATGAGTCCTCCAAAACATAAGCCCTGCGAACACTAATGCGTAGAGGAGCTGAAAGATGCTGATCATGCTGCTGTCTGATCCGCGACCGGAAGTAAGCACGTTTGTTGTCAAAATCTATCAGCCTTGGCACTTTCAACATCATAGAAAGTGACTTCTCCAGTAAGCTTGGATTTTGTCGAATGAAAACATTGAGTAGCCGTCGATGCTTTTCTGCAACCCTTATAAAAGTAACATTGCAGATCCCACCAGTCTTCAGTGATGGTGAAGATGAACTTCCAGCAGATTCTTTTACTTCGGGGGCAGTAACACTGTAATCTGATTGTGTAACTGGTTGATTTGTTTGAAGCTTCTCGCATAGGACAAAGAATGATTCTATGAACGGCAACAAGCGTTGAGTGCCTGGAGGAAGCGATGATGAACCAGAGGATGAAGCACCAACTTCTAAAGCATCCATCAATGGGGCATGGTAAGCGAGTGATGAATTGTGTACAAATTTTGCCTCTGTAGCACTTATACAATCACTTAACTCTTGCCACAAAGGTTCAAGACCAACATTCAGATCCCACAAAATAGACTGCTCTTCCTGTCGTAAATCTTTTTCATATCCACTATCCATCACACCCGAAGTCAGTGTAGATAGGACTTGCAGTACCCGCAAGATCGCAGCTCCAGCCATAGAGCAAGTACTGAGCCCAAGCATTTGAGTGTTCTTCAGTGTTACAAGCTCCTCAACTGCTGAAGAACTTAAACTCTGAGCAACACCAGCTAACTCAATGGAAAAGAATTTCCGATGTGATGCTGCAACACTAGCCAATTGTTTCACCACCTCCGCAGCAAGTGAGTACACTTTATCTGGAAGACTGAATATTTCAACAAGAAAACATAAGCATATTTGTCTAAAGCTCTGAAAAGAGGACATTTTTCAAATATCTAAACTATGAACTAAGAATGAATTTTCCACATATCACACATCAGATTTACACCCAAACAATAACTTTTCTCTGAGTATTCCAGCAGTAAAAGGTATAATTAATATAAAGCATATCAATCAAATTACTACACATGGACAAGTTTTGCTGCATACATTAATCTAAAAAACAAATGGTGTCCACTGTTAAGGATACAAGAAACAAATTTCACAAGAGATGGAAAGGAAAACAATGTGTCCTTAAAGTAACATTCTAATTGGATCATCAAAGCTAAGAAACAAATATACAGAAGGTAAGAAACTTCCTATGATGCTTGATTATCTTATCTACAGTGACGCATCTTGATTACGCACTGATCAGCCTAGGGTTCACCTTCATTCTACCTAATTGGGCAACCTTCTCTCCACTCTACCTAGTTGAGAGTTAGTAAGGAATTTTTGGTATGTGAACCTTCTTCCCAACCCATTGCCCTCACAGACTATCAGCCAAAAATATACTTTCCTGGGTTCACCTTGAAAAAGATCAGTTGAGAAGAAAAAAGCATCTAATTCAGCAGGAAATACATGAAAACTCTAAGCATTTATAGTAAATCATCATTTGTGCACGCTATGCAAAATTAAGTAAATAAAATTGAAGGGTAAGGCAAACACTAACCCCTCAAGTGCAAGAATATTGCACAGATTATGTAACTCAGCATCAGGAAGCTGAGTAAGGATTTCATGCACATTATCATTCTGTTTAGCACAAGATGGTGGGACCTCAACATCTCTGCTTTGGTTATTATCCGGGATATGACCTTGTTCCAGAGTAGATGGTTCCACCTGTGTTTGAGATGGTGTCCCATCAACTAATTCAATATCTGAACTGTTAGTTATCTGTGCAGAGTGAGGTGGACAATCAATTTGGGATGCAGCATTGTTAACAACTACTTCCAGCAAACACATCACCTGGAACACAAAATTAAAAGGTATGAGAAATATTTTAAGTGAACAAAAAGCTAACATACACTAAAACAAGTGCTGATAAATACCTGCTCAAGATATATGCGACTCCGCAGAAATAAGGGTTTATTTAGAAGCTTAAGAAACAATAGAATGGGTGTATAACCCTCTGAAGATGGTTGCATCATGTTCGGCGTTGAACTTTCTTGAGATGTCTCTTTATTGTGCTGTAATGTCAAACAGTTTGAACTAGCTGAAGGATTGAAATAGATCAAAAGATCCGCAACAGATGGATGGTTAGAAGCAAGATATGTCAGGATTTCAAGAAGTCGCCGTGTTACAAGTGGAGGTAGACCTGGAGAGATGAAGTGCAAGCATAAAAGGTGGCTTAAGTACCCAATAACATTGTTGAACAATATAACAGTGAAGAAAAAAGGAAGATAATACAGAGAGTATTAGGGAGAGCCAAAGGTTATAAAACAAATTACAAAAGGAGATAAAATAGAGAGAATACTACCATTTGCAGAGTAAGGTTGTGCGTAAACAATGTTCCACTGACATCCATGTAATCTATATGTAGCCATGCAATCAGATACGCTAAGCCCCTCAGATTCAGGTTTAATCATGTTGAGCAGATGGCCAACCAAGGTAACACGTGTGACACTATGTGCGCATAAATTGAACATAAGCCTTTGAAGAAGGCCTTTGCTGAGTGGCTGCAAAATTGTGGAATAGTTAAGCAGTTTAGCTGAAGGAAATATGGGCAAAAACTTAGTAATAAGGAAAAGCATGTGACAATTAGCAACATTTTCAAGTCATCTTTATTGATAATAAGGAGAAGCAAGTGACAATTAGCAACAATTTCAAGTCGTCTTATTGATGTCTTATTTGCAAAAGCTATTTTTGTGCATACCCACTAAAATTCTGACCAGGGACTGATTTTGCATAACAATCAAAAAATAAATTTACATTGAAAATAAAGGAACAGGACATATTACCAATCAAAAATATGCATAGCTTAAGAGCTTCCTGGATGTCCACACAATCAAAAATATGCATAGCTTCCAATAATATGCTATTGTCCATAGATGAGACACATATATAGGTTTATACCTACCAACAACAACAACAAAGCCTTTAAGTCCCAAACAAGTTGGGGTAGGCTAGAGTTGAAACCCAGCAGAAGCAATCAAGATTCAGGCACGTGAATAGCTGTCTTCCAAGCACTCCTATCTAAGGCTAAGTCTTTGGGTATATTCCATCCTTTCAAGTCTCCTTTTATTGCCTCTACCCAAGTCAACTTCGGTCTTCCTCTGCCTCTCTTCACGTTACTATCCTAGCTTAGGATTCCACTACGCAAGTGCCTCTGGAGGTCTCCGTTGGACATGTCAATTCAATTTACAGATTATTTCATAGATGGTGAGGTTTCCATAATGTAACAATCTAGCAGAGACATGGTTGCTCATTGTTCTTATTGCCTTGAGCAAGTAGGATGTAGAGAAAAGATAGCAAAGCAGACAGCACAGTGGGAGTGGGGGAATAATAGATGCAAAACTCATCCCCATAACATTTAATTTTGCAAGTTCATTTCCAATGTAAACTTACTCCCTCCATCCCAAAATAAACGCAAAGTTTGACTAGAAATATAGAAAATAGTATCAATATTTGTATCTCCAATATAAGTTTATTATAAGTATATTTCATGCTCAATCTAATGATACTTATTATACATCATAAACATTAGCATATTTTTCTATATATTTGATAAAACTTCAAAAGATTTGACTCATTGGGAAGCGAAATGTACGTTTATTTTGGGACGGAGGCTGTATGTGAATGGACAGTTTGACACATTAAAGCTTCACAACCAAATATACTTAAGAGATCTTTCAGCAAGAAAGTTTTTGCAGCTGCCTGCTCACAGTTCTTGTAACCATAGTGATGAGAAAATGCACACCAAGGAATCCTGAGTTTGCTTTTAGAATTTTACAGGGTGTATAACAGATCCCCACCATGCAAGCCTCTATCATTTCATTTAACATTTTGGAAACTAGCGCATCACAAATTTACAAGGTGAGTTTTGCACTATGCAAGTAAATATATGTGCATGCAATATTACATTAAATCATAAAACTATAGAACAATGCCCAAAACCACCCTATTCCCTTGAGAATTAGCTGATTGCAAGTTTACAATGTGAGGTTTGCACTATGCAACTAAATATATGCATGCAATATTACATTACATCATAAAACTACAGAAGAATACCCAAAACCACCCTATTCAAGAAAAAAATACAGTTATCTAGATACTAGAGCATATGCAGTGTGAACATTACCGGAGCAAGCTGCAGAAGGCGAATAAGTGCCCGCAGAGCTTCTGAGTCCAGAAGCGGGGTCCCCTCCACATCTTTACCCTTTGAACCGCCTGGTGTAGTAGAAATAACCCTTCTACCCACAGTAACACCAACAGCTCTGTCTATAATTGTCTGATTATCAGTTGGCAGACTCCTCCCTCCAAGCCTGTAGCTTCCACCAAAAAGGCTCCCTCTAGCACGATAGCGACTCAACTCTCTGTCCCGTAGCATTTGAGCTTCAGCAAGTAAAGCTGAAGGAAGCGCAGACAGAACAGCTTCGGATGAGGTCAAAAGCACCTGTGCAGTAAAACAGGCCAGTATTAGTATTAAACAGGTATGTAAATTAAACCTTACCTCTCCATCATGCAAATAAGGATTGGAAATTTGCTAAAATTGAAGCATTACCTCTTCACGTAAATCAGGAGGGAAAGTTGCTATAATCGAAGCATTATCCATATCTACTGGCTGCCCAACTGGTTGAGAGTGGACAATCCTCTGTGCTCGCTGCTGGGCTAGAACCTCAGCCTGTATATCTGGTGGAAGAGCAGCCAAAAACTCAGGATCTATTTCTTCTGCAGCTGGGGGAGTATAGGAAGCAGCTGGGGCAGAACTGTTCTGCTGAGAAGCAAGGACTTCGGCACGAAGATCCTCAGGCAATGCTTCAAGAAATGTGGGATCAATTTCATTAGCACTGGAGGCCTCATTATTAGCATTAGGTTGCTCTGTCTGAGGCTCAGTTTCTTCATGCCTCCTAGAAGACAAATCATTGCCATCAGAAGCAGGAGCTGAGTTCTCAACTTCATTTTCAGCAATATCAACACTGTTCATGTCAACATCAGCATCCACTGCTGCAGAATCCACATGAGCATCACTCAGCTCAGGAGCAGCAGTTGCAGACGTGACAAGTGCATGGCAGCTTGACTCCAGATCAGATGGGGCTTCCCTAGGATCATTACCCAAGTGAACTTGTTGAGATGCTTCAATCTCATTTTGCATAATATGACCATAACTTTCATTACCAGACAAGGAATCTCTTTCAGGATGACCATCGAGCTGTGTATCAGCAATACACATCATTTCATCACTCTGAGGTATAGCGTTAGGATCATCAGGTGCTGTTTGCCGCACCGCTTCTTCAACACAATTATCATAAATGGAACCAACAAGCTGCTGATTTACGTGCACATCTGTAGGACAGAGGACATCATTAGCAGGAGCAAGTCCTTGGTTAACAGTACAAACTGGCTGATGGCTGCCAACAGGTTGAGAAAGAGGATCGGTTGCTACAGGTTCAGCATTTCCTGTATCTGGTAACGCTAATTGTGCATTCACACCATTGCCAGTCTGTTCAGGCTGCACCTGAGGAGCATTATTTGAATTACTAGCCACAGTTAACTGTGACACAAAATGACCCTCAACTGCCTGAGCAACAGCAGCTGCATGATTACCTGCCTGTGGTTGACAATCATCAGTCCACAAATTATCTCCAGGGCCCCGCCTAATTCGGAGGGAATCCAAACCAAGTGAGAAATCTATCAAAGGTGGCGGAGCAGTACTTACAACACGTTCACCAAACACGGCGGAAGCAGTTTCTGGTGGAAAGCCAGCATCTAACATGTATAAGGGGATGTCTGAATTCCCAAAAGACAGCGTGTGAAAATCTCTTGAGGAGGGTCCTCCAGAGGGCCACGCTAAACTAGTTCCCTCCCTAGATTGTGCTGGCCTGACAAGCAGTGGATGAAGAAAGGCATTCCCATCAGTCCTTGGTCGATCAAGAAGTGACCTACTTCCGCTTTGGCGCCGCAAGAAGACCAAATGAACGATGCAGGTTAAATGAATCATCTGTCCCCACACCATGAAATGACTCAGAAGATATATCAATAAAACCACTGGAGTCTGCACGACCCCTGGAAAATCGCAGATGATGATCCATTCCAGTTAAGCTTTCCCTCCATCTTACTTCTATAACACGGTTCTCAAGAAAGTCATCATCTTCTTCATCCATAAGGTCATCATTGTATTCATCACCAATTGCATTGTTCTCCTGGTCCTCGATATCTGTGTCAGCTATGGACATCAAACCAGCTCCCTCATCTGCTATTTCCTCATCATCTTCATCCTCATCTTCTTCATCCTCACCTTCCTCCCCAAGATCCTCATCTTCCACACCCATTTCATCATCAACTTGATGTTGCACTGAGAAAGCCAAACCAACATCAGTACTAGTAGCCATTACATTACCTTCAATAGCTTCTTCTCGCATGAACTGCACAGCTCTCATTGGAGGATTGCCATTAGAAGTATTATTGTCGGCTAGATCAACTCCCATTTCTTGTTCAGTGGGTTGGTCAAGGTTTTCATTATTGTTCCCACAGACATGAGACAGTTCTTGAGCTTGCTGACTTGCAGATTGGATGATGTCATTAGGATGATGATGTGTGTCGTCTGTAGTTTGTTCATGGATTACAGTGTCATCAGCTTCATGTATTTGTTCATGTGACCCTGGTAATCTGTTATTGGTAAATCGATCTGTCTTGAGGACTTGATCGCTGGCATAAGCAGTCCTAGTGAGGCTATCCAAAGCCTTCAATATCAGGTTGACAACCCTTGCAGCATCTGGGTGGTCAAGATCAATTACTTTCAGCAAACCAGAAAGAGATTGCACCATTCCACCATCTACCATAGGTTTTGCAATATCAGGTGAGCAACCAAGAAAAGGCAAGTTGCTCTGACTATTCCGCGACAAGATGGAATTCACAAGCTCAGAGAAAGCCAAAACTTTTCTGTCAGGTATTAAAGATCCTTTGGAGGTGTTGCTTGCTGAACCAATGAAATAGTTAAATGCCTTTACAATTTCAGAAACAACCCTTCTACGACCTTCAGCAGATCTGCAGCATAAAGCAACCAAGAACCAGGAAGCTCTCTCAGACAACTTACCAATCCAATCATCTGAGGCATCAGCCATTTTGACCGAAGGTAGAGGAAGTAGCAGATAGAATATATGATGCAGTAAACCACTGTGTCCAGCAACTTGATCGCAACTTCGTGACTGTGATATCTCTGTATCCCGTCTCAGAATTATCCCTACTGCATGCACATACATGAGGAGTATTTCACTCATCAACTTAAGTACAAATGCAAACTTTGACAGCAAGGCAGATCTCTCAGAGAGGGCATCACCATCCAGCTCTTGGCCATCATCAACTTTAGATTTGCCCTTCGTATTTGGTTCATCAACATCCATTGGAGTCAACAGGGAGTAACCATCAAACCGATGTTCTTTGCTTGCAGATGGATAGCTCATAATGATCTCAAGAAGCTGATCAATCACTTGAGAAAGACTAGCAGGAACCTTTTTGTGGTTCCGTGAACATCTGTTTGGTGTATCAACTGATTTAACCTCAGCAGTCAACCGAACAGGCTCATTACATGGCACACCACTTTCTGTTACACGAACTTTCTGTTTCTCCCTGTCTTTCTCCTTGTCCTTCAACAACACTACATTCATTCTCCCTCCTGAATAATCCAATTGGCAGACTGAAGTTACAGCCTTCATGAAGATCACAGGATCTCTAGATATCAGTGGGGACATAATTGTCAGAAATGAGCGAGGAGTACGACTCCCACGGTTATTTAATGACTGTCGTATCTCCAATTCCATGGCACTCTTCAAGGTCTGGGGGTCCTCAATGAGGTGGCGCACAATGGCAGATGCTAAGGTCTCAAAGCCAGGAAAGATGCAAATGCCTGGGAGATTTAAAAGAGATGCTAACCCACCACTTTCAAAGAAGTGGGCAGCAAGAGCATGTGTTTTTGTCAAGCGAGCACTGAGCTGAAGCACAGCTTGCATAACTGTTGCAGGCACACATAGCTTAATGAATTCACAGCAGAAAACCAGTGCCTTTTGGCTCTCTTGATCATTCAAATAGCCAGTAGATTTCCCCAAAACCTTTTTAAAGACATTAGCACTTGCATCATCTGCTGAATCAATAATTTCAGTTCTATTTTCAGCAGTTGGTAATGGATTTGCCTTACTGTCAGCACTGGATGCATCAGAAATTGACTTGGATATACCATCCATTGTTTCCATATAGAATTTTGGATTAAATTGTAGCATGTTATCCAATATAAGCAACAGAGCACTGATAGAATTCCAAGTCTGATCTGTCTGGTCTGTCCTTGATTTAAGACTTTCTAACATGTTAAGAACTTGGGAGATGACACCATTTTCGGCACTAATTTCACATATGCCACTGTCTTCACTCAGAAGCAAAGCCAACAAATGAGCAACAGAATACAAAGCGCCCATATCACCCGTGGTATCTGACGAAAAACATCTTAGTTGCTCAAAAAGATACAGTACTACTCGCTTGCAGTATTCACCCTTATTCCGGTTGCATAGTGTCACTAGAAGGTCAGTCAATGGGAAAGCCATGGTGGAATCACTAGAGTGGAAAAGCTTTGTCGATACAGTAAGGATGTCATCCAAAGGGAGCACAAATACACCTTTTTCTTCAGCAATGGCTGTATCCTTCTTATGGCTCCCATCCGCCTTGGGTGTTTCAATGGAGCTTCCAAGTGACAAAGCTAACGCTTGTGCTAGCTGCACATCTTCCTGAACAAATTCTTCTGGATGGCTGAATAACCAATCTGTTGCCATCTCCACGCTGTTAGTTCTGACGCTTCTAAGAGATTCTTCTGCCCTAGCCCTTGAAAATCCCATTTCAACAATTGTAGCAATAGCAGATTCATCAAGAGGGGGGCTAGTAACAAGCTGGTTGGCAACTCCAACACTACTGCGGCTTTGCTTCATATCTCCAACAACAGAGCATATATTGTTCATAATTGACACCAGGGAGGTAACAAGAGCTGGGCTGCACTCAGGAAACATTGTATGATTCCAAACAGGAAGAACTGCATCAAGAACTTGAGATTGGAGCATGCGAGCAAATGATTCTGGATCTGAAGGCACAGGGAATAGATTAATTGACAGCTCAGTTACAATAGGCTGGACAAGAAGCTGATTATGAGAAGAGGATGGAGACAATAAGAATGTAGAGTTCACACAATATTCTAGAAATTTACAGTAACTCTGTAATGTATCCAGCAGCCAGGAATTGTGAGACACCTTCTCACTAACAGAGGAACCTTGATTTGTGGCAGCAGCCAAGACAGAGAAAGGAAGTGTCCATAGTAGCTGACTGGTGGCTTCAAAGGTCGTTAGAACTTCCTTGAATGTTCCGTTCACATAGAAGCTATTAACGAGTGCAGAATTGCATAAGCGACGTCTGCTGTCAAATGTAAGCACAGCCATATCTTCCACAACCTTTCCAAGGTAACGGCATTTCACAGATAAAGACATCTCAACACCTGCAGTAGAATGTCCAGAGAAACCAAGAGCACTAAGGAAAAATTGTGCTAGTGCAGTCACCAGACTTCTCGAAGCTGGGTTAAGGTTAGAGTCAGCCCGACGCCGAGCCACTAATCCTTTGACAAGGCTAGAAAGGAAGGAACGCATGGTATAGCCAAATTTCGTCAGAAGTTCAGAAACAACAACATCAGGGCTTTTCTTTAGAGCATCATGACTCCTTGATGTCTCTGCTGGAAAACAAGGACCATCCAAATCAGTATTTGTTGCATCCAACACTCCATTTAGGCGCCCACTTATCCTGGATAATGAGTGTCGACCATGGCGGTGCATATTGGCAGCGGATCGCACAGTTGAAACAAAATCTTGCTCCATGCTCCAGGGTGATAAAGAAGCCCTTGCTGAAACAGGATTCGTATATCTTGAAAATGGTGCTGTATTTGTGTCATCGTCACTATCCCTTTCAGAAATTGAAGCATCCCCAGCCAAATCATCTTGATCTGCCTCTTGCTTATCCACCTTAGAATCACTGAGTAAAGATATCTGCCATGTGACTTCAATATAAACCTTCCCCAATTCCTTCAATATCTCAGCATCAGCAAAAGCCAGTTCTGAGACCATAATGGTAGTTCCCTTCAGGAGAAAATTTGCAAGAGACAAAAGCCCTTCAAGGGTAGAAAGTGACTTCAGAAGAGCTGATTGCTTTGTAGGTTCGCTATCAACCAGCTTAGTTCCAGAGATCGAACCCAACAATTCATTGGTCATATTAAGGTGGTCTCTAAAGAATGAGCACACTGCTCGTGCAAGAGAAACAGAATGCTGAGGTGAGAAGTTCTTGAATGCAACAGAAATACTCTGACCAATTGAAACAGATACAGGTATTGATGGCAACTTAAAGAGTTGAAGAACAGCTTCAATGCCTTTTTTCTCAATAAATAGCCTACATGTATCAGTATTTTGCAGAACAGTTTCAAGGAGACGAGCAACATTGCATATGCACTCAGGAAGAAATAACTCAATGGATGATGATGTCAAAGCATCTAGAGGAGCATCAACTGTTTTGACTGAGCATCCTACCTCAGGAGGTACACCCTCACTCTGTGTTGTAGCTACCTCCACATCAGTATCCATGGGAACAGCTGCAGAGGAATTATCAGATTCCTTACAGGAAATAGAGTCTCCACCACACCCTACTTTAGAAATAGTGTTCAAGATTTCAATAAACATGCTAACTCCAGAGGATCGTAATGATGATGCATGACGCATTAATTCATCAAGTCCACTTGATAAGGCCCCCGTTGTGTCACCACTAAGAGCTTTCAGATATGATCTAGAGGTAAAGATTTTCACAAAACATCTTAAAGCATTGCGGTCCTTTACCAATTGAAGACCATTATTGTTCAGGCACAATGCATCCAAACACTGTGGTATACATGAGACTGCATCAGAGTTATAAAGTACACCACCCATTATGGCATCAAGAAATGCTTGTGGCAAACCAGCTGCATCAAGAACAGTATAGCATGTTGGATCTTTATGTATGAGATCACTCATAACACTTGCAGCAAGTGAGAAAACACCACCACCAAAGTCCTTGCCTCTCTTAAAAATCTTACATAAACATGGGGGTAACACATTCTCTTCTGAACCATCAACACGAGCAGAACTACCGGGCACATATGTTGCCAGAGATATTGTACGTAGTAAAACTTTCATTAAGTTCTTCCTATGATACAAAATCAAGGATTCAGAACATGAAGGCTGTATATCTTGCACAGGTTGACAGCTTTCAACCTCTTTTCCTTTATTGTTAGAATGAGACTCTTCAAATTTTTTTGAAACAACCTCAACTTGAGATACTTCTATCTTAAGACGAGCAATAGTGTCATCTAGTCCACCTAGATCTCTGAACAATGCTGAAGAAGGATTGTGATAATCCAGGAAGCTCTCAATGACATGCAGTGCTGTACTAACTATATGTAAATGCTGTGTGTTTGTGTCTTTGAGAAGAGGCAAAATAGTGGGTATAAATCCTGCTTCTTGTAGAGCTAGAGAACCTGGTGTTGATGATACCAGCATTGATACAAGCGAGATAAGTGCTTCGGCAAATATTATGGACCATTTCATAGAACCATTGATGATAGAATCCACTGCCTTCTGCATGAGACTAGGAAGGATACCACGATGACCACCAGAAGTTACTGAGGACAATACAGTAGGCTGGTGAGATCGATCTTGGCACAGTGCAACTAATGAAAGGATTCCCAGTATCCTAATTTTTTCTGGTATCTCATCCTCGTAGCTAAGAAGTGATAACAGCTCATCAATGAATTCTGGTTCGTTGCTCAAAAATGTTGATAGACCTTCCGAATCATGGCCTGCCTGGACAAGAACAATAAAGGCATACAGGCGGATACAGATATACTGGTGTCGACATGTTAAAGAGTCAAATGCCCTTGCAAATCTCAGTCTTGTAAGAAGAGGGAACCTTAAAGCTTGTGGCACACTGTAATCCTTGATTAATCTGTCTAGTATTTCAAGATCAGTCTCCTTGCAAGTATTGACATTCGATAAATGAATTACTTCCAACCTGTTCTCATTCTCTAGACACTGGGATTTCGCTGATTTATCAGCAGCACGATAGAACTCAAAATGGAGAGTGGAGCCAACCTCAGTGGAAACTGGATCAGATACACTGGGCAGAGAACATGCTATTAATCCAAGGCCACCTTCTTTTCCACCCCAACCCTGAGAGAAGGCAAATAGCTTTGAAGCGAGAGACGATCTGCGTATTGAGCTTTTCCCAACTGACTTGTCCACAAAAGCCATTAATGTCTGCAAGCTTGCTTCAATAATATCCGCATCTGTAGATGCTAAAAGGGCAGACAGATGCTGCTGTAACCAAAAATACATAAATTAGCAGTATACTACTGGAAATGAATAAAACCAGAAAGTTATGCTGCTCCCTTATAGTAAATAAATACAAAGGGGAAAAACAAGTAGGTCAGCAGATAAACAGGACATGCATAGAGTGCTGACCTCAAAAAAAATATAGAAGTGTCTATTTGTACAATTTTCCAATATTAGTTTTGATACTCGGAGAATTTGAAGGACTGCTTCTCGAGGAAATGGGGGATCCACATCAAGAAAATTGTCTTCAAGATGCAAATCTTTCCTTGATTTGATATAACTCTCAAAGAAAGAATCAAAGTGATTGAAAAGGTCCACCCAGTGATGGAAATCCCCCTACACCAATTTGGTAGCAAGAGATTAGAATTAATAACATCACCACAAAAGATGCTATACATAAAAAGTCTGATTTACACACCTTGTCGAATTCCCATGCAAAATTCTTCAGCGGCAATTCTACATTCTCAAGAGGAACGGTGGTAACACTGTTGATGAAAGATTTTATATTTGGAGGCTGCAAACAAAACAACATACATTGGAGAAAGGTACAAGATAGGAAAAAAAAGGATCTGCTGCATGCTGGATTAACGATCATATGTAAAGCAATAAGCAAATGCAACCAACTTGTGCGCACAATTGTTTCATATAATATCACACGCTGCTTAGGTTTCATTAACAGATGAGTTTGATGAGTTTGATAAACAGAAATCATGCTCCCATTAGATTTAGTAACTCAAATCTCAATGTGCCATTGGAAGAAGTTGGGACTTGAATTTAATAGAGATAATTGCACCGGAGGCCCTGGACTTGCGTGGTCGTCTCACCCTAACGCACTAAGGCAGAGGTGAGGCAACCATGCAGGTTCAAGGGGACGAGGCAGTAACTGGAATTTGGGGTGCAAGGTGATATCTGATATGAATATAAAAATTCAATCCAAGGTCTATTAAGGTTTAGGGGCCTGAGACAATAATGCAAAATCTGGGGACTCTAGGTGCAATTTATCAATTTAAATTTTTTGTCCAAAACCGGAGGAGGGACCAAAGCTAGCTAAATCTCTAACTCCACATCAAGATCAGTTGGGACTCTCCTGATCTAGTAGGGATCAATGCACAATACATCTCATACTCTTCTCATTTGAAAATCTTTGCCTCTAAACATTTCTCATCAAAGTCTTAGAATGTTGACCATAACAGGTGTTAATTACACAGCTTTTATTTGTTAAACTAAATGCCCTTGTTTAGTTTTGCAAACATCAAGAGACAGAAAAAGAACCAAAGAAAAGAAATCCAGGTCGGCGCATGCTAGGTTTGGCCAACTGCAGATCTATGACAAACGTTAAAAGCAAAGAAGCCCACCAAGATTGCATCAAACAGTTTGATAGTCAGAAAAATGAAGCCTTCAGGATGAGTTTGTGTTATATGAGACATATATCTAAGAGCAGGGGCGGAGACAGGGGGCGAGCGTTTAGTTAATATATCTTCTCATTATTAGTTCCTAATAATCACTAGAAATTATAAGTAAATAATGTCTTCTCAGCCAATTCTAAATTGTTTTTCTCAAATAAATCTCCTAACTATCTAATGTTAAGTGTCTAAATAAAGTAAATATGATGTGAACCGTTAACCTATGAACAATGTTCCTTTTTATCTTCAATTTGAACATTTAGCATTATTTGAGATGAAAAGATTAAAGATTGATTTATTGTAATTTTTTAAGCCTACATCAAAGTCAATAATATTTTAAACCGACATTAAGATTTGATGGTGGAACCATATACTTTTTTGTAAACACTTGATGATCCCCCCAATATCTAAATCCTGGCTCCGCCCCTGTATCTGAGGTCTAAAGTTTCTTCTTGTAATCATAAAGACATAATTATTGTTGCAAGGATTGCAGAGACTGAATAATACACAAGGAACCCTGTGATCCCCGAAAATAAAAAAATACCATGGGCGTGTAGCATACTTAAACCCAAAAAACCTACTATCACCGGGAACTGGAATCACCACTAACAGCGGTAAACCTCACAGGTAGTAGAACTCCCGCCAATAACCTAATTTCAGGTTTAACTACCGCACATACGAGGTTTGGCCAACTGCAGATCTAAGACATCTTGTAATCACAAACTACTGTTGCAAGGATTGTAGACACTGAACACTACAAAAGCCACGATGGCAGTCTAGCGGTTCACCAACACCAAAGCACCCTGGCACGCAACTTCCTAACCGCCCAAAAGGAACAAGAATCTGCACCACGAGCTAAGCCGCACCAGTAGAAAGAAACCTGGGAGCAATACCCTAATCCGTTCGCCTTCGCAACCGCCGCGATCAGGCGATCGGCACATAGATCGCGGGGATCGAGTGGTAGTAGGGTAACCGAGGGGCCAAGGCAACGTACCACTTCTACCGCGCGTCGCCGCTTGAGCTTCATACCGCAATTCGCATCGCCGGGAAGGCAAAGACCTCCGCCGCGCCGTCCGCCTCCGCAGGGGGCAACCCACTGCGCCGTCGCCTCCGCAGGGGGCAAGCCACTGCGCCGTCTGCCTCCGCCTGGGGTCGCTGCGCCGTCGCCTGAGGCAGTCGCTGCCGAGGCTCCGGGTGGTTAGGGTTTTTCGGGGGCGCTGGCGTGATCGCGGGGGAGAGATGGCGAGGAATGGTATCGGATGCGCGTGTCGTCCTGGAGCGAGGCGAGGCGAAGTAAAGGAGAAGCAGCGTTGTTACGCACGGCGACGGGGAGTTATATGACGGTCACGGTGACGAAACTAGGCATGCCAGGGGTGGACTCTCTTCGTGCCACGGGTCCACGTTACGGAGATCAAGGGTTTGTGCTCTTTTTGAGGGGATTTGTGATCGGGGCTGTAATTTTTTTTTTTTCAGGCCTTTGCAGCCTCGATAAAGGCTAACATCGACCAGTAAATGTCGAGAGTACAACTTACATAATGTAAATTATCATTACTTGTAGTGTATATAGAAACTTTTTTCTTTCATAATGTCTCATCTTTATTTACTCTCATTTTTTAGCATGGACCACCTTATCTCTCCCCAAACATATATAGCTTCTACAAGCCACTATAACAAATACAAAGTACCTACTTACGGCTACCAGTGAAAAAACAGCGTTGGGGAAGGCCTTAGGCTCCTTTTGGTTGGTTTTTTCGACCGTTGACGATAGTTAACATTCATCATAGACCGTCAATATAACTTGTATAAATGTATAAAAATGATCATCAACACAGGCCTAGGGGTTTAAACAGATAAATTTTATAAGTTTTGGTGAATCTATGTTTTCAGAATGAATTATTTAGGAAACGAGCAAAGTGGACGCAATCGTCAAAGCAAATTATGATCATCCGCGACGAAACCGACTTAAAAGACCTCAAATCCACCGTCCAAAGCAAATCACCATGACCTGACCCGAGAGGACACTGGGTGGGCCCGGCCGGCCCCACCTATAGGCCAGTCGGCCTATGAGTCCTATGGGGGGCATGACCCCGGATACCCACGACAGACCACATGCGCTGCGCCCCCAGAGACGGCCCAGCCCATAAGACGAAGCCTTGCTGGGCACGATGCTGCTCGACGCCTTCCGCAAGACACCGGAAAGATATCCTGAAGATACTACGAGATCTATTAGGATACGTATGATCCCATGATTCCTATAATTTGTTATTACTTTCTGGTTATCTCATAGATCTAACCGACTTGTAATCCTGCCCTCCGAACTATATAAGACGGGCAAGGACCTCCTCCAAACTCACGCAATATCATACGATAGCCAATACAATCCAACAGACCACAGGAGTAGGGTATTACGTCATACTGATGACCTGAACATGTCTAACTCGTATGTCTCTGTTGCCTTCTTGTTCTTGATTACACGCATCTCTGCCGATCAATCTACCTTCGTGGGATACATCTCGAAGGACTGCCGACGATATTCTATCGACAGTTGGCGCGCTAGGTAGAGGTGTGCGTGATGTTTCTATATCAAACAAGATGGTACGTTCTGTAAGCTCTTCGTCCCTCCTATAGCCCGGCCAGATCTTCACGGTCGGATTGATCTCATGGATCATCAATGCCGACGGAGTCGAAGAGCTCATCGAGTCGGTGCAGATCAATACTGCGCCGATCACCCCAACACCAGCGACTACAGATCCGATCTCGGAACCACCTCCGAGGTCATCTTCGCCGACAACTCACTGCCCGCTCCCCCGCTACCAGAGGAGGCGAATCAACAACGACGATCTGATCGCATCCATCGATCAAGTCAGCCAGAAGCTCGCCGATTGCCTCTCGATCACAGAATCGGCTCTGACCGCTCTGGTTCAGCGCCAATCAGCCTCCAATCCAGATCTATCGGAGGCTGCTCAAGAAACTCCAGGGGTTATGGCCCTACCCTTTAGGCTCACCAACGTTGCTGCCACTTATCAAGAGGCTCTACGGGGCAAATTCACCGACCAGGTTGGAGATGTCCATTCTCTCGCCGACCAAATCGCCGACCAGCTCCCACCAGCTGTCAACATGCTACACGTCGACCGATGCCCTGGAGCATCCCTCAAAACCATCTTGGAGGAGAATCCATACTCCGAGTCATAGGGCTCTACGGAGACTGACGCCGAAACCACCGCCAAACAACTTCCTTTCCCTCCTTTCCGTGGGGGCGCAATCTTCAATGTCAGCGTCGACAGCCCTCCGCAGGAAGGAGAAATCGAGGAGGACCGCGCCGCCCACGTCAACAAGAACGTCAATCGTGCGCAACGCCGAGCAAACGAGGTTGCCCTTGCAATGGCTGAGGCTTAGCTTAACTCGCAAGGAAGGCCACGCTAACTCCAACGTAACCTTGACAACGAATTTATCCATGTTGACTACCATGATGTCTACAAGAACCCAAGCGCCAACTTGGCCGTGGCCTGGCTCCCATAGACACCAGAGGTCGCCAAGGTCGTCGCCATGCTTAAAGCGGCGCACTACCAGGTCAACGAGATCCACCAGGATCAGAGGCCTTCATACTCCACAAGCTCGATTCGCCGATCAGCCATGCCAAGATCTGATCGCCGCCCAAGTCGTTTCACCGACCAGCACCGTGACGATAGACAACCCCTCTAGGGGGCAGCTAGGGGCAAGCGCATCGAACACCTTCGCCAACACGACTAGGAGGTCGACCGAGCGTCCGAGCGCACCTCAATAATCTCCAAGACACGCAACGGCATATCGACGAGCGCCGCTTCGGTCACCATGAACAAGAAGTACGTCATCGTCAAGAGTACGAGCAAGAGTTCAGTAACCCGGACTCAGCTCTCGAGCCACTCAATGTCGGCAACGCTGCAGATCATGGCGCCGACAACCCCAAAGGGCCCCCAGCATTCATGAGGGCACTCCGAACACTCCAGTGGCCCCGTGGTTTTAAAATCACTGGGGTCGAGCCCTACGAGGAAAGGATGAACCCCACACAGTGGCTACAAGCTTACGCCACTGTTGTGCGCGCCACCGGGGGAGATACCAATTTCATGGTGAATTATCTTCCCGTCATGCTTACGTAGCTGCGATGAACTAGTTCACAAGCCTCGTCCTGGACTCCATTGGATCCTGGGAAGAGCTGAAGAAGGTTTTCACTAATAACTACATGGCTACGTGTACTCGGCCAGGCACCAAGCACAATCTAAACCGCATCTACCAGAAGCCGTCCGAGCTCCTCCGCAGCTACATCAGACGCTTTTTCAAGATGAGGAATTCTATTCCCAACATCATAGAAACTGAGGTTATCACCGCCTTCGTTCAAGGACTCCATCACCGCGATCTCCGCTCCAAGTTCAACTGCAAGCCGCCCACGGGGATTGCCAAGATGATTACGACCGCCAACCAGTACACCGACGCCGAGGAAACCGAGATGCGCTTCAATGAGAATGCGGGCACTCATCGACCAACTCATCGCAGCGACGATCGCCACGACGACCAGTGCCACAGCGACCGCCGCTACGATGACCTCTGTCACCATCGGGACAGTGGCTGTGATTGGCCAGAAGGATCCAAGTCTTATTAATATCGCCGCCACCGACCAGACTATATAGTCGCCACTGTTGACGAACCTCACGCCAAGCGCAACTATGACGAGCAATACAAGAAGATCCTCGACGGCCCGTGCCCTCTCCACAAGAACGCCAAGCATAAGATGAAGGACTGCCTCGGCTTGGCTAAGGAGTTCTAGGCCAAAAAGCCAGACGACGACAACAACGACGGATCCAGAGGCCGCCGACCACCTGGGGCAACAACAACGCCTTCTAGGATCACAACAAGGTGGTCGCCACCATCTTTGGGGTCTCGCCTCCACCGAAAGCAGAAGAGAACGGAAGCTCACCGCCCGCCGGGTGCTCGCCGTCAATGCAGAAGACACCGTCGCCAACCCCAGCTATCACCCCTAGTCTGAGGTCCCTATCACCTTTAGCAAGGCCAATCAGTGGGTGGATATTCCTTACACAGGGTGTTTCCCCCTCGTCCTCGACGCAACCATCCAGAAAGTGCTTTTCAGAAAAGTGCTCGTCGACGGCGGGAGCACTCTGAACCTCCTCTTCGCTAGAGCCCTAAAGGAGCTAGGGCTCGGGATTGGAGATCTTACACCCTCCGACTCCTTCTAGGGTGTGGTACCTGGCAGGGCATCCAAACCGCTTGGAGAGATCACCCTACCAATATAATTCAGCATGGCTAGCAACTACTGCGTCGAACACATCAACTTCTACGTCGCCGACTTCAACACTGCCTACCACGTCATACTTGGTCCGCCATGAAAGCATCTAGGCCCCTAAGTGGATTTCGGTGATTAATGTCAATACAAGATTACTATGACTAACGTGTGTTTTGCAGAAGTAATTAAGTTAGGTCATGGTAATGGAGATCGATTGGGCAATTGAGGTTGTCATGCCCCTACGATGGAAATCGTTTCGGTTTTCAAAGGATGGACGACAAGGTTAAGGATAACTAGTTCTAAGTGTCAATTGAAGTTGGAGAGACACTTAGAGTAGTTTAGGACTTTGTTTTTCCTTTGGTCGTACTATGAAGGGGGGTATGAACGGGTAGCTTGACCTAGTTGAGTCTAGTGAGTTAGGTGTGGTGCACACTTGTTAAACTAGCTCTAGGTAGCTCCTATGAATGCCTAAGATCCTTTGGAGCTAACTTCATTCATATATGATCGAAAGTTGGAAGTGAATGGAGGGTCAAATACTGACCGGACGCTAGCTCCGGTGCGACTGGACGCTGGCCGTAGGGTCCGGTCAGTTCATTTGACTGAGGAGAACAAGTCTGGAGTGACCGGACGCTGGAAGGTCGTGTGACCGGACGCTGAAGGCCAGCGTCCGGTCGACTCCAGTAAGGGTTCAGACTTGAGAAAGTGTGATCGGACGCGTCCGGTCAGTAGTGACCAGACCCTGAGTATCCAGC